CTGTAAGTTAGATGTCTGGTCGGCTGCAGGAATGTATGGCATAACTTCAATCAGTTAAGCCTCTATGATCTGCAACTTCCACAAAAACCCTGTTAAAATGAGTATTGGGTGCTTATAAGTGTCTTTTCTGTTAAAAATGCTTGCAAAAAGAGTAATTGTAATTGATTTTAAGCTTTAAAACAGAAAAGTCAACATGTCTGTAGTCACAAAGTTGTTCTTTACTGACAATGTTCTTAATATGAAAACAAGAAGCAGCATGTAGAAGGTTGGGAAATGTTTGGTAGAATCTCAGCAATGGAGAAGGCATTTTTAAGGCATAGCTCATTTTGCTTAATGTTTACATGATCTAAAAGTTTAACACCCGGCCTAGTTCTGACATAGAAATAGATAAATAAAAAAAGAACAACCCTACAAATAACAGCCTACTCGGTAAGGCCACAAATGTAAATGTGTCACTTAACATGAGGTTTTTTTGTAAATAGACATTGATTCCTGTTTTTGCATTTACTGTAACAACTACCTCAAACAACTTTTTGTTTTTTTTAGGAATAATTTTCTGAGTGTATAAAACTAAAGTGACTCCCAAAGAGCTTGTGGCTTTGTTTGATCGTTGGTTTTAGAAAGTGAGCAAGTGGAAGATTGAAGAAGTTCACAGCTTCCATACTTAGAAATATCCATCAGGCAAAAAAAAAAAAAAAAAAAAAAAAAAATGGAGGGCCAGTTTTAACCCCCATGATCCTGCCTCCTAGGAGGAGCCAGTTTAAAGTTCTGCAGTTCTCCTGGTACCATGTCTTATCTCTGTTCCTCGCAACCACTGAGCCCATCTGTATCCATCTGAACATGTCTGTTTGAGCTTGCTGCAGGACTCTTAGAACTCTGAACCTGCCTGAACACTCTGTGGGTCCCGGAACCCTGGATTTGTCTGTTCCTGTTTGGATCGGAACCCCTGGTCGGGCTACGGACTCCTGGATCTCAGAACAGTCCTGCTCTGAACAGCACCTGGATCGGTCTCCTACCTGCTCACTGGGGTTGCTGCATCGGAGACACTCTGGACGGCTCAGTGCCGCATCTTGTTGGCCGACCAGCCGGTGATCCTGATCCGAATGGATGAACTAAACCCAGGTAAGTGACTCATACGGATAATCATCTTCTGTCAGATTATCGCGGTCACTTAACTGTGTTTCTCCCTCCAGAGTGTCAGTGAACGCCGATGCTCTGCCTTCCCCCGCAGCCGTTGCAGGTCTGCTGATCCACTGAATCCTGCATTCCGTTTTTGTTGTTTTTTTGTCATTAAATGTTTTGAAACTTCCCACTGTCTGTCTCGCCTGAATACTGGGTCCATCTGTCCCTTTTTTATGATACCAAGAGGAAAATCTGAGGATTTTGCACACTGACACAAAAAAGGTGTAATGGGTTATCTAAGGAAAGCTATTTTATCTGAAAGTATGAACAAAGTCTCACTTTTATGGTGAAAGCATGAAGGTCGGACCACTCACACATAATAGTTGGAGCAATTTTTTCAGATGCAGCGGGGTGAATTTTGCTTTATTTCTGGTTAACGTCCAGGTTTTGACACAGAAATCTACTAGGAACACATCAAAGTTTCTAAAAGACACAGAAAGCTTTGTAATACCTAAGTGAAATTTGTCTAACAGGAGCAATAAATTCCTTGTAAAGCACCAACTTTGATCATTAAATTTAAATTTATTTCTGCATCTTTAGGTCTGAATGTTAAAATGAGTTTAGATTTCAATATAAGGAATTTCTCCACACACCCCTTAAACCCTGAAGAAAGGACAGTAAAAAAGAAATAAATGTATTACAGTCTCTGGTTCACCTCGACAAAGGTTACAGGTAACATTCTAGTCTTTAAACATTGTAAGTTTTTTTTACAAGGATAATCATTTAGCAAAATCTTCAAATTAAGCTCCCTCATTTTATTTGAAATAGAAAATTTAACGTGAATAATGCGTCCTCTTTCCAATGTATATTAATAAAGAGTTCATTCCAGGAAAACTTTCCTTTTGGTTGTATAGAATTTTGAGCTGTGTAGTACCTTTCAAATGTACTGGTTTGAGCATTTTCTGTATTGGTTATGTTAATTCCTTCAATCTTTAAGAAAAGCTTCTTTGTTATTTGATATTTTAGGAGGGGAATCGCTTTCATAAAATCTTTATAAGCATTTTGTTTTAGAAAATCTGCATAGTTACAGTTTACATTTTATCAGAAGGAGGCTGCTCAATGGTGCAGTGTGTAGCACTGCTGCATTGCAGCAACAAGGTCATTCTGCATGGAGTTTGCATGTTCTCCCTGAGGATCCGTGAGTTCTCTCCGGGTACTCCGGCTTCCTCCCACATACATGACTGTTAGGTTAATTGTCTTCTCTAAAATTCTCCTTAGATGTGAGTGTGTGCGTGAATGGTTGTTTGTCCTGTTTGTCTGTGATGGACGGGCGACCTGTCCAGGATGTCCCGCCTCTCGCCCGTAGACAGCTGGAGATAGGAACCAGCGCCCCTCATGAACCCGCTTGGGATAAGTGTGACAGAAAATGGATGAATGGATTTTATCAGAAGGCTTCGCTCTTTTGCAAATTCAATTAAAATATGTTCATATCGTGAAATAGAAATTAAAAGTTGCAGTAACTCATAGTTTCTTTTTTATCCAGTTGTTGGTATTTGATAGCTATAGGCAGGGAGGATCTTCAGTAGCGGTCCGTCTTGCAGTGGATCTGGAGAAGCCTGTGACTGGAGACACTCTGCTGTCTCCAGTCACAGGCATGTTCTAGAGAGGATGCTCACTGTTAACCATAATGTTCTTCACTTTATGAATAATTATTATTATTGAAGTAATATACAGAGGTTCTACAGGAGTTCTTAGAACAGAGTCAGATTCGCTTGTTGACTTTATGTAATTCATTTTTTCCGATGCTGTTACCACCAACAGATGATGGCAGATGAAAAAAGTCATGTTTGTGACAATAAGGCGAAGATACAACCTATTAAAAATGTCAACCCACTTAACATATTTCACAGGTTCTGTGTTGTATTGAAGGTGGGTTATGATGACTTAACAACCACCACAAATTTGTTATTTTCAAAGATTGGGCAGCAAAAATAAAAACTCACCCACTGCAGGCGGTCTCCCTTTTTTCCTCCAAGCTTGGGTGCTTGAGGGTTCTGTGCAGCAGACCAAGATGTCTGATGTATTTCAAGGGATCTACTAAAACCACGCCTCAAATTTGGGGGTCACTGCCTTGAGTGCCTCAATCACCACGGGCACCACTGATGCCTTGTCCTTCCAGGTTTTCTTCAGCTCTTCTCTGAGTCCCTGGTATTTCTGTAGTTTTTCATGTTCTGTTTTCCTGATGTTGCAATCACTTGGCATTGCAGTCGACCAAAACAGCTTTCCTTGCTTTTTGTCCACCACCACAATGGTTGGTATATATATATATATGTGTGTGTGTGTGTGTGTGTGTGTGTGTATATACATATATATGTATATATCAATATATATATAGAGAGATTTGCTAAAGGATTATTTAGCAAATCAATTAATGTGTTGATTATTTTTTTGACTGTTCGATTAATAACTGATAGCAAAAGGCTCCTTAGCGAAGACTTTCTGTGAAATTAAACCAAGTTAAACTAAAACTTTTCCACTTGAGGAGTTCTGGGTAGAACATATTGAGAGAGGAAAAAGATTTTTATCCTAATGCAAATGTTTACTTAAATTGTTTCAAAGTATTTGTATAATCACTGGGTTACTCTCTCAGCTGAAGGCATGTTTTAGAGTCTTTATATTCCAGTTAACGATGAATCGATTACTAAATTAGTTAATGATTATTTCAATAATCGATTAAACACAATTAGTCTGATTGTTTCAGCATCTTAGATAGATAGATAGATAGATAGATAGATAGATAGATAGATAGATAGATAGATAGATAGATAGATAGATGTGCATGTGCCTTGTATATTGATGTTCTAAAACATCAACAACTCTACGGTCTAACTTCTCTGTCTGTGCATGTAAAATCTGATGATAAAGTAAAGTATCAGTATTAGCAGACCAAAGCTGCTCTCTGTGGGACCTAGCCCGAGACAAACCATTTCTTTTTAATTATGCTCTTTGTTTCTTTTTAGTTTACCCATGTGTGGAGAAAATCGCTCTGTTGAAAAACTGTCATCAGCGCTCATGTTATATAGGCACTAAAGCTGCCGTAATGACTGGTTTTACATGAAGCCTAAAATTATGGTTTTAAAATTTTAGAGGAAACGCAGAACATTTAGCCAGTTTCTTCAGTTGACTTCAAGGAAAAACAACGAAGCAAGGGTTTTGCTACATAGAAGCAGACATTTATCTTAATACCTGAAATGTTTGAAATTTGCTGAATGCAGATGTTACACTACACTGACACCTGCTGGTCAGTTTGTAGCATTACAACAACAAATCTCCATCGTATCGGTTTAATATTAGTACTACTACCAATAATAGTAATAATAATAAGAATGATGATAATAATAATAATAATAATAATAATAATAATAATAATAATATAAACTAGCTAATATTAAATTCATCATTCATTTGAACCAAAGAATGTGGTTCAAGGAATTTATTTGGCAACAAAAATTTAATAATATTACTACTCTTACTACATATAATGTTTAGATTATCAGCGGATGACGCTATAATTTATATAAATGTTAAAATATCACTATAAGTCAAGCCATGCTGCGTTCAAGTTATCCAAGAAAAAAAAAATTCACGACCTGCTAAAACCTTTGAGACTGTCACCACAGCTTTAAGTCTAACTGCTGATGTTTACCACGCAAATCCAGAAAGAAAGGATTTTAGTGCACAAATAAAAACATAAAATACATTACATAATACATAGGACAATGTATCACCCGCTTCTCTTTGAAACAGTTCGGATTTACTTTATTTTAGCAGAACGTGAACGCATCGTCGTGTTAGCTTCATATATGGCTGTGATGCTAACGTTGCTGCCATAAAATGGAGAAAATACAAACAGTTTGATCTTTTCAAAGTCCCGGGGCTGTGTCGGAGCTCCTGTATCCACCTTTAAACAAATAGCAAATGGAAATAAATGAGGAAAAATCGTCGCCTAACATTTGTTACTTCCTGCTAGCTTCAGCTAGCCACAATGAACATGCTGCTACCTGGTTATCTCAGAAAATAAAGTCATGCAAACAAACAAGAAAACAGCATCGCAAGGATGCTGCAACTGTGCGAGCAGGTAGCAAAATATTGTTTCAACAAATTGTTAGAATAGCTTCGTTTTTAAATGATAGCATATATTTTGATTATCTGCCTCATTATTTAAACTTTAATTCAATCATCTCTGCAGAAATCAGGTCTCAGCTGTTACTTTTTAATGATATTGCCATATATATATATATATATATATATATATATATATATAGTTCTGAAGCTTTTTCATGTCTCATCAGTACAGTACTTTCTCTTGCATTTAGCTCCAGAGTTTTACTGAAGAGAGAACTATGGTAGACTGAGAGTTCACCAGCAAATTGACAAGTGCAAGGTATGTGACTGACTTCCTCTTAATTCAATTCAGTTTATTTACCGGTATATAGCCCTATTTCACTGCACATGTCATCTCAAGGCACTTTACAGTTCAACCAGGTCATACTGTCACATTGATTCAAAGTTTTCTATCTAAGGAAAACCAGTTGATTGCTTTGACTCATTGACTCAAATGCAATCCCTCACACTAAGCATGCTTGTAG